TATATATGTCCGCTGCTGCCAACTAAATGTATTGATTTAAATAGAAGAGTCAATTTCTTTAACTATCTGATTCAAACCCAGCTTCTCCCTTTCAACTTTGGTGTGAGACTGGTAGAAGGGTTTCCAAGCTTTGCTGATGAGAACGGGCTATTAAGCCAACACTTGTCAAAAAGGTTGACGAAGTTCCAGAAACCTGATTACTTACACCTCAATTGGAGGGGGGTTGCAAAGTTAGCAGCAATCATTAAAAATACTATTCTTCTTAGAGTTAATGGTGGTCGAGACAGACGCAGAGCTGGACGAGGGGGGAATCAGGTGGACTCCACATCATTTCGTGACATAACTGCACGCTCTCTTCCTGCTGATAAACGAGTATCTGGTGATCCTGACGGCTACCAACCGTCATGACTACTCTAACTAAAGAGGTATGTAAACACTGCTGCAAGGGTATCTATGTGGGCCAAGCCATAGTCGAGTGTTCCGAATGTAACCATGCAACTCATCATAAATGCTACAATATTGTCAATACCGATTTATGCGGTAACTTTCTCTGCAATACATGTGTAAATCTTGCTGTTAAACGATACAACCCGTTCAAATATGATATCTCCGACGAAGAAATCGATCTAGACGATACGATAACTAAGCTCTCGCAAATTTTAAACTGCTGTTCTCAGCTTAACAGAAGTCAAATTAATCAAACTCTAGAAACTTTAACCGAAGGTCAAATGTCAATGATGTTTCAAAACATAGACGGTAACAAAAGTAACTTTGATACTATGTGTATAGATCTTCGCCGATATAACAAAAAGTTTTCCATAATTGCACTTGCTGAAACAAATGTAGGACCTGAATTAAGTAGCTTGTATCAATTAACCGAATACAATAGTTTTTACCAAGCAACCTTTCGAGAGAAAAAGAAGGGCACCGGAGTTGCAATTTATATCCACCAGTCACTAAATGCAACAATCGATAATACCCTCTCCTATGTAAGTGAAAACCTAGAAATCCTATTTTTAAGATTCAACAATGGTAACTCAAGCACCTTTGTTGGAGTTTTATACCGCCCTCCGAGTGGCAATTTTGACTTAGCGCTAAGTGAACTAGCCGACACTCTGGACAAAGTCCCCAGACACTCGTATATAGCTGGTGACTTTAACATCAATCTTCACGGCGACAGCAACAAGGTTGCTAAATATGAACACGTTCTTTACAGTCGAGGCTTCTATCCTCTCATATCTGTAATGACCCATGAAAAACCCGGCTGTATTCCTTCATGCATCGATAACATCATTACCAATGATTTAGACAACATTATAACATCTGGCACATTCAAAGACAAAATCACACATCATCACCCCATATTCTTAGCACTCAACACACACCTTGACCAGAACGATTGCAAGATTAAGTATGAACAGTTCTATGACTACTGTAACTCTAACGTAGATAAGTTCACCGACAAACTATCAAATAGTCTTGATAACACTGTAATAAATTGTTTTGATACCTTTGCTGACACATTTAACGTTGCTTTTGACGAATGTTTCAAGTTAGAAACCCCGAAATGTACAAAACGCACTATGCAAAACAATCCATGGATTACACCAGCAATTATAACATCAATAAATCACTGTCACGAACTATACGAAAACTGGGTCAAAGCTCGCAAAGTCAAGTGTAATCTAGGAGATACTGACACAAAAGGTGGCTTCTGTCACTGCGCAGTATGTAACAAAAAGCGCAGTGAGTACTTAACTTATAAATATTATAGAAAAGAACTCAAAGTTATACGTGAAAAGGCTCAAACTTCGTACAATATGGGTAAATTTAATGAAGTTCAAGGTGACAGTAAGAAAACATGGCAACTAATCAATAAGATACGCGGCAAAGGGAAACGAGAAATTAAACCCCCGTTTGTTATTAATAATGAGAAAATAATGAACCGTAGAATTATAGCTAACGAATTTAACAATTACTTTGTATCTCTTGCCCCTAAGTTGAATGAATCATACAGTACAACCGGTCAAATTAGACTAAGTCCAATTCAATGCTTTACGGACTACTTACCAAGGCCAAATACCTCAAGTATATTTCTCAGCGATTGTACACCAGAAGAAATAGAGAAAATCATTAGCGAACTCAAGAATGGAAAAGCTAGTGACATCCCTATTCACGTCATCAAACGAACGTCTAAGATTATAAGCCCACTCCTGTCAGTATTATTTAATGAACACATGAGAAATGGAACTTTTCCAGACCGACTGAAAATTGGTAAAATTAGCCCTATATACAAAAAAGACGGTACAGAATATCTCGAAAACTATAGGCCAGTATCTACCCTAGCTGTGTTCGGAAAGTTATTTGAGAAAGTAATCTACTCCCGTTTGTACAGTTTTCTTGTGTCGCAGAACGTTTTGTTTGAGAACCAGTTTGGTTTTAGGAAGAGTCACTCAACTAACCACGCCCTTAATTACTCAGTTGACTATGTAAACTCCCATATAAAGGAAAAGCAACATGTATTAGGTATCTTTATCGACTTATCAAAGGCATTTGACACTATCAGTCACGATAAACTTCTCATAAAACTTGACAAATATGGTATAAGAGGTAACGCAAACGAGCTTATTGGAAGTTACCTATCGAACAGACAGCAGTACGTTTCAGTTATAGGTGAGGAATCTGATAAACTCCCTGTTATTTGTGGAGTACCACAAGGTAGTGTTTTAGGACCGCTACTGTTTATAATTTACATAAACGATATCTATAACTCATCAGACCTAGGAAAATTTATACTTTTCGCTGATGACACCAATATATTTGTAGTCGACAAATCTGTCCAGAATCTCTACCAAAAAGCTAATACTATAATGAATTCTGTTTACAATTATATGAAATGCAATCTTCTCCACATTAACATCAAGAAATGCTGTTACATTCACTTTACACCAGGAAAGAAGGATGTAACTAGTAGTAGTAGTAATAGTAATGATCTTATTTTAACGTTGAATAACACAGTCATTAAACGTGTTGATGAAACTAAATTCCTCGGCGTTATTATAGATAAAAACCTTAACTGGAAACCTCATACTGCATATCTTAGTTCTAAATTAAAGTGTGAAGTCGGTAAACTCTGCCGTATGAGAAGATTTATACCTAAAGAGCTGTATAATGACCTCTACCACACCCTCTTCGAATCTCATCTAGGATATGGGATCTCAGTGTGGGGAGGCATATCGAACAATAGGCTTGAACCAATATTTAAAATTCAAAAAAAGTGCACTTGTATTCTATTTGGTGATCAAGAGGCATACAGTAATAAGTTCAAAACATGTGCTAGAACCCGCCCAATTGGATCCCAAAAACTTGGAGCCGACTTCTATAAACGAGAATCAAGTAAACCCCTTCTCAGCAGAAACAAAATACTCTGCGTGCATAATTTGTATAAGTACCACTGTCTACTTGAAATGTTTAAAATAATCAAACTTCACACTCCAATACCGATGTACAATTTATTTCAAAAGTCACCCCGACGTGATAACTACTTTATTAACCCCGCTGCAACCAATTTGTTTGTATATAAAACCTCGAATATGTGGAATAAATTCCTTAAACCTTCTAGTAAGATTGACTTCTCGTCCCCAATTGCACTTGTTAAAGGTCGCATTAAATCTATGCTACTCAATGCTCAAAAAGCTGGAAACACTGATGAATGGTCAGAACTCAACTTTGATGGAAATGACATGTGCCTATAATTAAGAACACACAAACTAGTCCATATAGATTTCATACTACACACACAAAATAACACACACAATACACACCACAGTCAAACATAGAAACTATATATTCACACATATAACACAGAACACTGATCATCCGCTTTACACTGGTGTCTGGACTTGTCTGGAGTGTTCGTCTGGAACGTGGGACGGACTCACAAATATATTGTGTAAACGTAGCGCGCGAAACTTAAATATTGTATAACTCTATCATTTCATTACCCAGCGTGATTTACCGCGCCAGAATAATGAAATGAAGCCGCGCTATATCCGTGAACCTACAGTGACTTATATTTTATATTTTGTATCTCTTATATTATTACTACGTAACGCGAAATTAAGTTGTATCACACTCCCGGTTTTGGACCCCAATGTTAACCTTGCAGCAACTGTGTCAGCCCAATATACTCTAGAAGTATGATCACACTTATTTTAATGAACAAAAGACCCATAATTAATATAATCAGATACTCGTCAACAGCAGCAGTTTCCTTACGTGTGATGTGTTGTCCTTCTCCTTTCTGTGTCCCCGTCGTTTTGTTTTGTGAAATGTATTGTAGTAGTGTTTTAATATTTAAATCGAACGCAACTCAATAGTTAATAATAACAAACACAAATACTATTTTAAATAATTGATTAATATCGATTTATATACGAACCAAACATTAATTATTCTTTAATAACCTTTTACATATGTGTTAAACGATCCAGGGCATATCTAAAATTCGATAATGAACTTCATATACTATTAGTGCCGCGTGCTGCAGCAGAATATTTATCAGCATGCTGATAAATATCCTGGGAATCAATCCACCCAATCGTGGCGATAACATATTTTTGTGCTTGGCCGGTTTTAGGTTTGAGTTTGTGCTCCAAAAGTGGTAAATCGGGTGCTAGTAAAGCTCTTGCAGGCAACTGGCTCCTTTTGCCAACTGCTTTTGGTTTAAGCGCTGACTCACATTTGGAACTGGCACTGGTATAATTGTAATATCCTACGAAGTCAGCATGCTATATTATTTTGCAAAACTCGTTTAATATCTTGACAATATTTAAAGTTTATGGTTTTAGGTTTAGGCGCGGCGCACGCACCGCTTATATGTTATAGCTCATTCAGCTTCTGTTTTCAGCGCTGTGTTGCTACACACTGTATAGCATGTGGGTCAAGCGCGGTGCCGCGCCTAAACAGCAAAAGAGTTATTTATTTTAAAATTTATTTTTGTATCTCAAAAATGATGTAAAGTTTTTAATATGACGTAGAATTAAAGCTATTTCCGTAGTACAGCCTAAGTGCTAAGCATGCTCGTTAGAAAAACTATGAACAATGAACATAACATGCTAGCTTTCTTTATTTTTGTAAGTCGCGTCGGCTGACATCTTGGGTTGTACTGGATGTAACAAGTTTATTATCGGATGTCTACTTATATTTATTATGATATCATTATTCATTGTAATGGCAATAAAATTTAAATTTTGTTTTACTTAAATTTTGTTTTACTTAATAGTTGCTTGCTAAAACATTTTGCATTCTATCTTTTGCTAGTGTTTCAAAATAATTTAATATCAAAGTTCAGCACCCCAAAAATGAATTCCAACAACGGTAGACTTTTTCAAAATACGTTTAAGTTGAGTCCGTCTAAAGTCTAAGCAATACACTAAAATGTGTTGCTGCATCTGTACTTGTTTAATTTGACAAACAGATTCAGTACAATTTCCAAATTAAATTATCAGACTGAATAACCATATGAACATAATTTGATAAGAATAAAAATAATAATAAATAAAAACAATTGTGATCAGTGGCATAACGAAGGGCCAACCGACCCCGCTGTGCAATCTTAGGGGGGGGGGCGCCAAATTGTTGTTTAAATGTGGGACAACTACGGTACTAGCAAAACTGCGCGTTTTGCTCTTTTTAGAGATTTTACCGGCGTATCCTCTAAAATAATATAATCTGTTCAATTTTAGGGAGGGGCGCCAAAAGGGAAGGGGGCACCAACAGGCTAGGGGCGCTTTTTCAGCAGAGGCGCCAACAGGCAACGTTACTCCACTGATTGTGATAAAGACGAGCCAGGAAATAAAATCAAACAAAATAAAATGTTCGCTTGAGTCGGGCCAAAGTATAAATAGGTTTTAAAAACACAACAAACTTGATACAAGTCATTGTTCAAATAATAATCTATGAAATATCCTCTAAGCTTCTTTTTTTCGACATCAAGGTGGAGGGTGTCAGAGTTGTCTCGCTGTTTGAAACACTCTTCTTCAGTTTCAGTTCTGTGATCCTCTGAAAGATCATTTATAAACTTACCATTAAAAGATTGCATGTGAGCGAGCAAGCACAGGCAATGGAATTATAATAAGGAGATATAAAAATATATATACATATTTCATTGCTGAACTTCTACACAATAAAGCGGTTTTGACATATTTTTGACATATATATTATACAATATAATCAACTTATAATCTTTATTCTATATGTTCTAGTTTTCAAATACAACCGTTCCAAATCTTAAATTCGAGATGGTTAATACCATTGTTCTTGTCCACAACTTACACAATGAAAATCAATCAGTAACCTCCCAAGCACTTCAGTTTTCTTCAGCCAGTCTGAAAGATAAAGAAGTCATTCTCTGCATTTAAACTCCATTTCAAACAATGTTGTTGATGCCTTATTCTATTCCGTTGTGAAACTTTCGACCAGCTATAACTTAAGCTTAAGATGAGATTAAGGTCATCAAATTCCGTGAATTATCACATGAAGACCCCTTGCCCCATTAGTGATTGTTCACATACAATGTCTGTCCCCACCCTTTAATACCGAAAGTAAACTCGCTGAGGGGTGTAGAGGCATACATCTACATATTCTTGCTGACATTGTATGCAAAAAATCCCTCAATTAATAATAAAATTCATGAGCTTACTACCATCTTTGTAACGAGCGTCTAATAACTGACAAAGGACTGTTGCTGCGTGTTCATAAATATCCATCGCGATGGCTTTTTGGTAATCTTTCTGTGATTTTTCTGTAAAAACAGTGTGTTACAGAGTTATCATCGTTATCAGGTATGATATTAGAATTATAATTATAATTATAATTAAATTTAATAAATTGGGCACAATATAAACTGTTTAAGTTTAGTAAACTTTAATGGTATATTTTTAGGGGACAAGATGCTAGTAAAATTAGCAAAACAATAACAGCACACACATAACATCTTTAAAGTTAAATAAACATGACAAAAAATTAAATTCTTCGATCTGTTTTTATATTACCGATTATTTTGTTGCTCTCATCTATTTTCGCTCTGATATGACATCATTCATCATTTCTGTTATTACATGTCCACTCCACATTAAACCTTATTTCAAGGGGAAAAAAAGTTGATTTTTGTTATACCATTGTATGAACAGTTCAATAAATGTTTTTGCCATGAAACGGACCAAACTGATCCTAACTCATATTCCACCCATCATAGCATATCGCTTCAGCATGTACAAAGGGCATAACCTCAATCAGTTTAATGTAGTGAAATGACTGGTGTGAATAAAGTAGTGTACTAATACAAGTTGGAGAGGATCAGGTAAGCTTAGTCAGCATCCATGATGTTACAAACCCTCTGGGACATTACTGCGCCCAGTCTCCAAAGTTACAGTAAATTCCTACTCACTACTACGGACAAACAAACACAGACAAAACACCAACAAGAAACTGATATACACTAGCTAGCTCAGAGAGGAAATGAGTACCGGCTCAGGAGGTATGTCAAAACAGGGCGCCCTTTCGAACACTACTCGGGCTAGAATCAGTGCAATTCGGACACTACTATGCAACTAAACCATGCAAAACTATATAAGTACAACTGTATGAACAGTTACTCCTCTACATTCTGGGTAAATAACAAAAAATAACAGATTGTGTCAATAACATAATATTTGACGGATGTTACTCGTCTAATTTTCTTCGAAGTAGCGCGCGCCGCTTTCTTCTCGAAATGTTATAGTACTTGCCGGCAAGTGCTACGAAGTAGCGCGCGCCGGGCCAGATCATTAACAATGGTCAACGATATACCGTTCATCTTAAAGTATTGGATCAATTTTATTATATGATTAGATTTTATAAACGAACTTGGCACCCGAAAGATTGTTGTCACTTGACATACGTTGCATGCCACTTTTCGCACGCGAAGCGCGCGCCGCCGATATTGGGATACGAAACATGTATCACGTTGTCACACGTTGTATGACCCGCTGCGCACAAGTGCAGTGCGCGGCTCCCCTGTATCGTAGAAACTCCACCATAGTGAAATGACCGTGGGGGTCACAACGTGATACAAAAAGATTGTAATGCGGAGGCTGGCTGGTTGTTTTATAATACCTTCCGGGAATTATATCCACTAAAACTCGGAAACTGGCGGCAAGTTTCAAAACAAATAACACTGGCGTTTTATATATTATACACTATATTGTATCATGGGCACGTATTACTGGGCCGCGCTCAGCCTGTCATTCCGCCAAATCTTTATTCGTTTGTTAATGAACATAATAGCCTGGGGTCCTCAGGTAAGGGCACGTATCACATTACACCCCTTCCTATCGGAACCGGAACGTATTATAAAAAATAATACCTTGGCTGCTTCGGGCCGCAAATTCCCTCTAGCAAGCTGTCGGGAATTATTTCGAGCGGCCCGAAGCGGCCAAGGTATTATTGTATTATAATAAATGCGAAACTCCCATTTACAGAATGCTTGCTAGAGAATAAAACATATAAATATTATTAGACGTATACAGTATACATGTTTACATAGCCATGTGTATACGCGTACTGCGTGACGCGCTTGTTTCACAACTACTGCAAGCGAGAGAGCTCTGGTTAGAGCAAACTTATTGTAGCTTTTATATTGTGTAAAATTTTACGGACGAAATGATCCCAGGTAAGGGGAGATTCCCGGTGAGGCACAGTGGTGCATCTCGCCGATCTACCGAAGGGTTGCGAGAAGAATTATTTGATGCGCGGCGCGACCTTGTAGGTTTACAACCTACCAGGACGCGCGCCAAGTTGGACTCGTCGACGGTCCAATATATGGAACATGACAGATATTTTACGAGTATCACCCGTTAAGGCTTGCTCTAACCAGAGCCCTCTCGCTTGCAGTAGCGCGCGTCACGTAGTACGCGTAGACACATGGCTATGTGAACGTTAAGGCGCAGTCCAGTAGTGCATCACGCTACAACTGCTGGCCGCGCTCAGCCTGTCATAAATAGAGATTCGGCGGAATGACTTGTACGTATCACGTTGTGACCCCCACGGTCGTTTCACTTTGTCATACGTTGTATGACCCGTTGCTCTAACCAGAGCCCTCTCGCTTGCAGTAGCGCGCGACCGTGAAACAAGCGCGTCACGCAGTACGCGTAGGCCACAGGGGGGTCTGAAACCAGGTTTTCGATCAAATGCTGCCATTTGTAGTCAAACGTCGCCAACAGTTGCTCTCGTCCAATGAAATCGCTGCATTTTGCAAGTTAGTATGCATAATTGAATTACATATATTCATATGCGGAGCTTGGCTTACATAATGCAGCGATTTCATTGGACGAGAGCAACTTTTGACGACGTTTGACTACACATGGCAGCGTTGGATCGAAAACCTGGTTTCAGCTCCCCCTGTGAGGCACATGGCTATGTGAATAATTGAACTTGTAGCGCGATGTGCTACTGAGCCAGGAGCCTCACCGAGCTGTGATGAATTGACATCGTCAATTAAAATTGAACTAATGTCAATGGGACAGATTAGGTAGTGCGCCATCGACAGTGAGCCGCGCGTGCCGACTGTAGGATAGTTCTTTAGCGCTAATTTCGGCCAGCACAATTTTCTTCAAACAAATATATATTAAGCATTTTTCCCGACCTCCGATTGCAACAAAAATTGGTAACCTTACTCGAGTAAGGTTACCAATACTCATAGACTTACAAGGAAAGTGTCCAAAAAATTTAAAGCATATCAAACCATCAGACAATATCTTACAGCTAAAAGCAGCGTATTTTGCCTCATTTTGATCACTATATCAACTCCGATATCCACCAAATTTTTCAGACAGCTGTGAAAGCCCTATTGGAAGGTCGTCGCCAATTTTCAGAATGATCCCATTCAAGGAACTGAAGATATATCCGAATAATACGACAAAAATCAACGAATTTGATCAATTTTGATCAAATTACGCGACTTTTGCTCCAAAAGCCGCGCACCATCAAATATGGCACCTAGGCGAGTAGGCGACACTCACTGATCTTTCCAAAAAGGTATAACAAATTTGGTATTGTGAAAATTCTCACAGTCTCTAGAAAACAGTGGTACAAAAATTTTAAAATCCGAGCAAGTTTATTTGTTATTTTTATCGTGCACCCCCTAGACATATTGCGAATTTACCAAAATTTGATAAAATCTATGCAGCGCGTCCTTAAATATACCATATGACATATCCATCATCTCAGATGATGAAATTCTGACGTCGTAATTGGTTGATAGTATATCACGTGGTTCACCTAGCCATGAGTCTTCGGCGGTCACGTGGTTCACCTAGCCAGGAGTCTTCGGTGTATTTGTTGTATCTGAGTCGACCTTAACGACAAACCAAATATTATAATATATATTACAGGTTTGCTAGTCATAGTACATAGATAGGTCTGTATTGTGGGGTGATTTGGAGATACTTCGATCGTCTCTTAACCATTAACCTGGAGGCTATATCATTAGACATTCGAATTTAGTGATTCCGCACCCCGGAAAATCTTTTATTCTCAATCACAAATTTTGAATGGTTTTAAAAAAACAAATGCTGAGTTTGCGCTGCTAATTTGGTTGTTTTGTAGAATTGAAACAGGATAATTCATGTATTCACATTTTGTCAACCCTATGTTTCTAGACCTACAACCTAGGTTACTAATGCTTATATTATGGTGTTCGGCCTAAACTGTATTAGTATAGAGTTGGACAAGAAACCTCCTATAATCAGAAGAAACAAACAAATTGGATTTTGTTCAAAACATTAAACTCAGATTCAATTACAAATATAATATTGAGACATAATAACACAAACCAAAAGTCTATTATACGCGATCAAAAATTCATAAAAACTCGGTCGTTAAAGATAAGAATTTCTTTAACCACATAACCAGTTTCTCAGTTTAATGCTCCTTCATTAAATATCTTATATCTTAACTTGATATAAAGATTCTCCATCATTAGTTTCAAATGAGTGAAAACGCCTTTAAATTGTTTCCGTGATTACATTGTACTAAATTATTTTAAATTTAATACTAAAAAAGAGGTTAAACTTTTCATAAATCTTATTAAAGCGGAGTTGGATCATACTGTGTATTATTTTAACTTAATGATTGCATTATACTTGACACAGAACGTGCACAAAAGATGATGATATTTTGAAAACTCATCACTGAAAATAATTTCGCTTTCTCCAAAAAAAACCTACCTACTACTACTGCAACAGAGCGGCAAAAAAACCAAGCTTTAATTAATACATGATATCAATATGTGCAAAACTAACTAGTGTGCAAAATGTGCAAACAGGCAAAAAACTAGAAATTGGACTGAATGGAACTACTGAGCTAAAAGTAAATATTCGCTATTTATTTGTCTAATGTTTTGGTGAACTTGTACAAAGAGATTTAAATGCGGTTTGAGATGTTAATGTGACTCAGTCTTATAAATGAAGAGTGTGTGAAGCTTGTTTCATTGCTACAAGCTTTATTTTCACATTTGGAACAGTTCTTTAAATAGAGCGGTCAGAGAATGACGGCCTTTTCTGTAAAAAGTGGACTTTTATCCATGAATCAGGTTGATGGAGATTTTAGTCTGTCGTTTTGATCAGTTGCCTGGTTCTGTCAGCTTTCTACCAGGAACGTATTCTTGCTCTGAGTATCTGACAAGATAAAGGAAGATTCCCTTGTTCGTGGAACCAAATCTAAGCATATTACCGCACAGGTAACGTGACAAGTGTTTAGTTAGTGGCCGGTAATTTCGTATAAAACTCTCAAAATTACCAGAAATTAAGGAAGGATAATATTACGGTTATACTGCTGACTGACCCTTCTCTTCTCACTGATGAAACTCTAATTTCCGAAAAATCCATCGTACAGACATCATGTAATGATAGTATAATGATAATATCCTAGTTCCAAATCTTGAGTAAATTGTCCCAGGAACCTGTACACAGCGCCACGCCATCTCTATCGACACCCAAACAGCTGACTTTGGCTCCGTGTTCACTGAGCACATACAACAGGTCTCCGAGCAGCGTGTCCCACAATATTACATTAAAATCGTCGTAACCCGCGAATATGATCCTCCCGCTGAGCGAGGTATCGACACAGGAGACACCCGCTTGTGGGTATTCGTAACTATACTGTGCGATTTCTTGGTCGGATCTTATGTCAAATAATCGTACGATTCCATCATCACTAGCTGTCACGAAGTTTAATCCGTTGGCCAGCCATTTGCAGTCCACGACGTCCGACAAATGGCCCACAAGGGTTTGCTTGCACATTCCTTCTCTCAGATCCCACAACTTCACTGTAGCGTCCGTTGATCCTGAAGGAGACATTACAGTTACGCAAACATTTATTTTTTAATTTTAAATTCTTGTTAATTTGCCAATTTTGCCCTCGAAACCTTAAAACTGAAGGTGTGTCGCTAATTAAGTGGTTGGGGGTCTTTGTTACCGATTATGTTTTGTAACTGGATAACTCATTCTACAAATCCACTAAATAATGAGAGGGTTAAACATTTTAGAACAATATACTGTCATAAATTCTGCTCTGTTACGACGACTAGTCGAGAGTGTTTAGAACAGTCATTTTTGTAGTTCCAGTTCACCATTTAGTTGTGAGGTGGAAGTGGAACGGGGCAACTACTTAATTTCATTACATAGAGCTGCCGAGGTATTAGATATCATGGACTTTCATGGTAACTTGCAGACCAGACTACAGACGTAGCATGTATATTTTAAATCCAATAATTCAGTTAAGATCCGGTCACGTTCATCTCAAGTACTCTAGTTAGGAGTTGTTATCCTTGTGACAAAGGAGTGAATTATGAAGATTATATACCACCACTGGAGGCAAACTTGTTGATTCAAAACACAAGGAAATATAAAATTAATATAAAGGTGGGTTACCTGAGAGGAAAGTGTTGTTATCGGGCAGGATACTCAGACAGTCAACCTCTCCCAGATGATCTTTGAGGGTTGTGATTTGTTGTCCAGTTGCAATGTCCCACAAAATACACATGTGATCGCCTGTAAAATATTAGCCATTTTAAACAACTGTAAAACATTCCCCAATTTAAACAAACATTTATCAGATTTCTCACTTAGTTCTTCGACGTTTTATGGATCGTTCAACTGTGACGTCATCATGAATTGGTTTTAATGTCTTTGACCAGTCACCTATTTAATGTTTTACTGACTTTGCTGTAATCGTGCGAAGATTTTGGTACTGACGTCATGAAGCATGTTATTAAATATTTGGTGTGAATTTCTACAGAACCGTTCAATTTAAACTGCTTTGCGACTTAGCTATTTGAAAGTAGAAACTTTTTGATGTTTTTGTAAATCGTTTCAATCCCAGAAAAATTTCAAAACGTTGGCGTACTGGATCTAAGGGCTATTAACATCTAATGTGACAAGCTTAATGTGAACTTAATTCATAGTTCCCTTTATAATATTACATATTATAAAATTACATATTTATAACTTATCATGAGTAATATTAATTTAATCGACGGGGGTGACTTGAACACTAGGGTAGTGACCTACACCTTTGGCCCCCAACATTCGATATTAGAATGTTAAACTGCAAAATGATATTGTCTCTAAAACTAAAAGCGGCTGCTTCCCAACTTTACTGCTTCACAAATCACAATATAAGTATATCAGCATTCTGAACTTGTCAGGTTTCCCTTTGCATTATGACAATTTTGTTCGGTACCCGGTCGGAATATGTGCTGAAGTCCTGTTACACCAAGAACAATAGCAACATGACTTTGACAACTGCAGCTGTTAGAGTACTATACTTTGACGCCGCGGTCGCTGAGCTGCAGCATGAGTTGTGCAGAGAGAGAGAGAGATAGAGAGAGTTGTGCATGTTAAGTATAAAGAGAAGTATAACTACCTGAACTTGTCAGTATCTGTTTGTCAGAGAGAAACTGGCATTCTCCAAGGTATCCGTCGTGGCCCGTCAGCACTTTGATAGCCTAAGGAAAAGATTCGATTTATTATCACTAATATATAAGATTATGCATTAGGTACCAGGAGAGAGCACACACACGGGGTAACCATCGGGTAAATCATTAATTGCGTTTAAATCTCTTGAGAGTCACTATCGCACTACTTATGGTTTCCATAAGCCCTAACAAATCATCGTCATTATCTGCAGAGTATTTTGCAGTTATTGGCACAGAGCTGCACAGAATAATAAAGGAAATACCGACAGCGTTATTGTTAGTTTACCTTTCCGCTTAGATTTGCGTCTTCATCGTTCAGATCATACACCGAACACACGTTATCAAGTCCGCCGGATGCGACCAAATTTCCTGAAATAGCATTGCACGTGTAATTACAGAAGCGACAACAGACGCCGCAACAAAAGACAGCTATTAGTGGCTTTTTAATGGGAATTCTCTACCATTATGAGTTTAACATTTTACTTGTACGATTCTGGTCTGTAAGGCTTGAAGGTAGAATTACAGTGTACGCATGAGAATGTACTTGTAAATATGCTGGACTAGAAGTTACAGTTAGAACATTTTATTGCACAAGCCCGCGAGAGTAAGCATCAAGCAGCGCTGCAATGAAATATGTCCGATTTATGTAGATTGTGGGAGCTGGCTAGATGACTGAATTGTGACTGGTAAATGACTTGGTAATGCCAATGGCTAGATGACTGCAGACTTACCGGAGGGTGCGTATGAGCAGCACATGACCCAGGAGCACTTCAGCTCAATAGCGTGGATCTTGTTACCACTGTAGGTATCCCAGACGAGGAGCCTGGAGTCTTGGCTAGCGCTCAGCACGTGTCGCGCGTCTGCGCTCCAGTCCATCGCGTAAACCTGCAGACACACAGCTGATTAAAATGAACCTGACAGGATGTAAATGCAAGATCACGAAACTTCAAGTTGGAAAAAGTTGGAAAAAGTTGAAAGTTGGTGTCCTAAAACAAGTACTTAACCCAAACCTTGGTAAGATGACCCTTGAGATCTCGTCTCCTCCTTATCTTGACATTAACATGTTCTGCAGTTTGAGCCTCATCAAAGAGCGACGTATCGCGGACTTCTTGCCTCTTTTCTTGTAACTGCAGTTTCAGTTCGTAAGCCTCCCTCTCCTCGGGAGTCAGGTCAGCCAGGTTTACTCCTGGATCCTCCATCTCCTAAAATTAAATGATCTGGTAAGATAGGGGAAAGAGGTAATGGACAGGAGATAGGAGTCAGGAGGTGAGAAGGGAAGGAAGGGAAGGGAAGGGAAGGGAAGGGAAGGGAAGGGAAGGGAAGGGAAGGGAAGGGAAGGGAAGGGAAGGGAAGGAAGGGAAGGGAAGGAAGGGAAGGGAAGGGAAGGGAAGGGAAGGGAAGGGAAGGGATGAAGAAAAAAGGGAATGAAGGGAAGGGAAGGGAGGGGAGGGAAGGAAGGGAAGGAAGGGGAGGGAAGGGAAGGGAAGGGAAGGGAAGGGAAGGGAAGGGAAGGAAGGGAAGGAAGGGAAGGAAGGGAAGAAAGGGAAGAAAGGGAAGAAAGGGAAGGAAGGGAAGGAAGGGAAGGAAGGGAAGGAAGGGAAGGAAGGGAAGGAAGGGAAGGAAGGGAAGGAAGGGAAGGAAGGGAAGGAAGGGAAGGAAGGGAAGGAAGGGAAGGAAGGGAAGGAAGGGAAGGAAGGGAAATATAAGTAACACTATAACAGCAGAATAAACGGATCCTAAACTTAAAGAGCTTGTAAATTGCAAGATAGTTTCAACTCTAGGAGAATAGCACAATCTCACAACAAAGTGGCAAAGAGTAAAAATATGAAGTCAAAATGCCTGACAACTTAATTGATAAAGTTATGTCGTCAAGTTGTGGGCACTTTGACAGGTGCTTACAGTTTGGTCGAGATATATCTTGAAAATCAATAATAAATATAAGCATCAAAGATCCCTGTTTGGAGATTAAAGTGATATGGTTATAACAGCAAAGATGCGTTAACTTTTAATCCAACGCTAGAGCAGAATGGCTTCAGGCAAAGATCCAAACTTTCCTATTCAACAGAATCGTTCACAAACCAACAATAGACGACACCATCACAATTGAGATGAACCGCTGGAAAGCAGAAACAAAATGCCACAAGCTTACTCCGTAAGATAGGAGCATTAGTGCGTGATAAGCTTTTACTTTGTATGCATACAGTATTGCGATGTTTAATTTAAAGCATAAGTTACTTGACAATAATGTACGGGAGGAAAAACTGTTTTCAAATATAAACCACTCATGGAGCTCAATCTGAAAGGAAAATATTATTACTACACAGAAAATACAAACATCAATTCAGACATGAGGAGAGAGGGGGATGCATTTAATTATGAAATAAGGATGTACATCAGTGGGCCACGGTCTACACAGCTATAATCGGATAATAACGTCAAATTTAATATAATATATAATATATATATATATATACGGCTACGCTGGTGAAGTCTAATGCCAATAATTACTAATAATAACTTACTATGTTGCCTATATTCTATGACTAGAGTTTGTTCAAGAAAGTTCGTGCTGCCGTGATAAAACTATGATTTGCAACCAATAATGAGTTCAATCAGTAATTGTTGGTTGTCTTTATTGGCACTCTGACTGACACTAAACTGCTGCCATAAATCCACCGATTAGTATTTTGGGAAGAAGAACAGTAAGCGATCCTTGCTTAGTTACAGAAGTAACCTAGCTGTTAATAAATATTCTGGAAATCAACTTTCAGGATGAGTTTTAAGAACTGTAACTGTTCTAACAACCTAACTATTAAAGATTTATTATTAGTTCCATATCAGTTATGGATTAATAGACTTAGCATCACATAACGTTGTTAACTGCTTATAAAACATACCTTTTAAGGAAATTATTACGTTCAGAGTGTATTTATAGATGAACACCACATTAAAATGGGACTAAGTTAATGGTTAAACCGAGGAAGACTAGATTGGCATTTATCTCATTACCTGGTAACAAGAGAGCGAAAGACGAAATATCAAAACCTTGAAAACTTAAAAACCAGCACAGAAAGTATAAGCATGTTTGTGGTAAGTAGTCACAGTTTGCCTTTTCATCAGAATAAAGTCAACATGTTATATAATCCCTCAATCAATACTTAAACTCTTAAAGTCAAAATTTTAATAAGCAGTGGAGTAAATACGCGATCAAATTGACAACATATTATGGCGAATTAAATATACTATAATGTAAGAAAATAACTGTCGAGCGAAGTAAGTGGAAATGTCTTCTACCCAACCTGCAGTAAACTTGAGGCTTAAAGAGTAAATGGTTTGCCATATTTTACAATGCATTCACATTATTCCTATTTGGGTTGCTTGGATATTCATTACACCTGTTAAAGTGGATGAAGTGATGAATTATGAGTTTTAGTGCATCTTTACCCCTAAAATGGTCTCAAATAACTACTAAAAGATTTCTACAATAAGACTAACAATGCAGATAAATCATCTGTCAACCTGACTGGGCTAGAAATACTGAAATAATTGCCTGTTAATAGCAACCCAACATATTGTGTCATTTTGGCTCACGACGTACCGTGACATTTTTTGTTGTCCTTTGATAGAAAATTAGTCGATAACGAAAAACTGACTTCTTTCCTTGAAAAATATTGGTTTTCGTAAATTTCATGACCGAAAAAATTAGCTTTGAAAGTTAAGTTATTAAAAAGCTGCAGTACCAAACTTTCTCACTGACCAGAGTTTTAAATTTGAGGAGGGATGGTCATGCAAATTGTGAAAACCGAAGAGACAATTTGGAATATATTAAAGCTACGCCACCAACAGAATTACAACACCAGGATTTTGGGGGGGGGGGGGGGGGGGGGGGGGGGGCTGTGTAACCCAAAAAAACCCAAAAAAACCCAATCCCAGTATGACCTTTTTCAGGGTAGGAGTTGGGTTTTTTTTGGGTTTTTTACAAATTTTTCATTTGGGTATGATGCTGTACACTGAGAATGTACAGCATCAGACCCTCGACTGTAATATTCGCATCGTCAAAATGTTTACAAGTAGGCAGGTGGTCTTTCAATGGTTGTGTGAAGCTTAGGTGGCCCAAGGCGTCACCGCTGGATAGAAGCTGGGTGGAAGCCCTGGTCTGATGTGAGGCTCCCAGAACTTTGAAAAGGGATATCCTGCTGGTGCCCTCTTCCAGACACTCATCGGACAGCATGATGAAAGCCACTACCTCCGCGTGGTGAAGACTGGATACTGGACAGGGGGTCCAGGCTAAAGGCAGGACAGTCGACGGGAGACATCGAACCCCGGAAGTTCAATAATTTGATCTATTGACTCCTTAACTCTTGGTCTACAAGAGGCTTTGAGACTCGTAAATCTTTACTGTGGATTGCACAGTAGCTAAAGAGGTGTTGGCTGTTACCCTGTTCAACCTAGTCTACTATGACCCAGCTAGACTGGACCACACTCTGGTAGTCAGGATACGGCTCCCTAATCCCTATGCCCGGGGTACCGGGTAACGAGGTAGTCAAGGGAAGGGTTAGTCCCCGCTAAAGTGTAGCTCTGTTCTCACTCTTATCTAACCTCCTTATGCTTTGGGATAAAATCGGAAAGTCCCACACTGGAGCAGGTGACGATTGGGTAAGGATTACAACTGATACTGTTGGGTAGAAAAAGGAAGTGTCACATTTGTCTTGTATAGCATATGTTCGTGCAATTACATGCTCAAGATACCCAAGATATTATGGTGAGAGTTAAAGATGGCTATTGTTCAAGCGGATGCCCTTAACCTTTTAGTGGCGCAAGAGTTAAGAACACAATCCACTGCCAATGTGCAGGGCACTGCACAGGATTGTGAGCCAACTGAAAAGTCAAGATGAAGTTTATCAACAGCTTAAGGGTTAAAGCCCCTTATTTTTCTAGTGGAAGTGGTTGCCGGGGTAATTACGCTGCTATTACAGAAGCTGATGACTCGGTCTCCACAACACGACAACCTATTTCTACAGAAAGTCAAACAAGAAAACATCAAAAAAATATGAACATCAATTGTATTGTATCATGTAAAAGGACTGCTAAGGTTAGCACATTTAACATAAGAACAGCCAGAGAACAGCACAAACGCATCGAACTTGCAGAACTATTTTCTCGAAGCAAGCTGCACATCCTTGCCCTGCAAGAATCGAACATCGGGTAGTGCATGCTGATTGCTGAGAATACCAGAATAGAAAAGATGAACAAAGGGATTCATCCAGTGATCTCATCTGCGTGGAGAAACGCAGCTGGCGCTTCTAATGGGAGAGTAGAAATCATCTTGACGAGGACAGCAGCGCAAATGAGGCTATAAGTCTTATAAAGTTATAAAATCTTACAGCGCAAGGATCCTCACCATGTCTCTTAATGGAGAGCCCAGGCTCATTGTCATTTGTCATCACATGCTACAGTCCTACAAAAGCCTCATCTGATGAGGAGGCATGAAATCTTTTTTGTCTAAAACCAAGCATCTTACAGTTAATTTAGTAGGAGAGGAGCCACACACAATAGTTTCTAAGGACGGACATGCCTTAGAAAAAGTTGAGGATTTTAGTACAACGGAGCACGACTTTAAGTTACGCAAGGCCAAGGCATGGGCTGCCTACCACAAAATGTAGGCTATGTGGAGGTCCAATTTGCGCCGAGATTTAAAGATCCGTCTGTTCAAGCTACGGTTGAATCAATCTTCCTGTATGGAACGAAAACGTGGACAATAACAGAATCGTTGAAGAAAAGAATAGACGGATGTTACAGTAGAATGCTTCGGATGGCCCTAAACGTGGACTGGAGAGGACATCGCACCAACAAGGAGGTCTTTGGATCACTCCCAAGAGTTATTTCGAAGATACAGGCCAGAAGAATGAGGTTGGCTGGGCACATCCAGCGACATGATGACCTGGCAGCACACCAACTTCTCCTTTGGGAACCAGGGAGGGGTAGACCACCGCTCACCTTCGTCGATAACCTAATAAGTGACACTGGATTCAAGAACACTGGGGAGATTAAGGAGCTTATGGTGGACAGAAAGCTTTGGAGACACATCATCGAGACTCGGACTCTGAAGCCGTCAAGTAATTTAAGTCATGTGCTTTGACTTGCCCTTGACCTTCGTCATAGCCTCCTTCCATGACAGGGGAACACATTTGCCACGTTTGGCACATTTCCACTTTGTGCATTCATATGGATTATATCTCGATGAACGAGACATCATGTTTGCTATCGTTATAACATACTATCAATATAATTATAAACACACTTATATACTATGTAAACTATCTATTAAGTTAAGACATGAGGACAACACGTAGGTAAGACTCAGTGGGAAATAATTCACATTCAATACAATTAATGAAATGGCTAGAATTTTGTTTAAATTTTGTTTAAAAAACCCAAAAAAACACAAAAAAACCCAATCCCAGTATTACCTTTTCTTGGGTAGGAGTTGGGTTTTTTTTGGGTTACACCCCCCCCCCCCCCCCCCCCCGATTTTATAATCTCACGGATAGAGAATTAGAGAAATAGTTCTCAACCGAGATCTAGCAAAAATGCCTTGCCTGAGCTGCTCCCTTATATGGGCATCACGTGACTTGCCTGAGCGAGGGTAGCTTGATTACTCCGTGGGAACGGCTGCAGTACGTACATCATTGTTCCCAGATATAAACATTCGGCAATGTGGTCCCGGGAGCGCCGGGGGGAGAAGAAGGGAAGAAACGCAACGGAGACAAATCAAAAAATGTAGGAAATGTAGGAAGTCGATGGTGGTTAATTTGATGAATAATTAGATTAATTTACCGACGAATGTAAACAAAGAACACAGCTTGTTGTCATTTAAACCTCGTGTGTACATGTGGAATGTTTTTGTTGTTGCAATAACAATAACCAGGTATGAATTCACTGCGACTAATGATAAAGAGTGTAAACAAAGTTAAATTAACTTTTAACATAGACATCGCATGTTTCACACTTGCGCACCACCAACAGAGACTCACACTCACACTCACACTCACACTCACACTCACACTCACACTCACACTCACACTCACTCACTCACTCACTCACTCACTCACTCACTCACTCACTCACTCACTCACTCACTTACTCACTCACTCACTCACTCACTCACTCACTCACTCACTCACTCACTCACTCACACTCAAACTCACACACTCAAACTCACTCACTCACACACACTCACTCACTCACTCACTCTCACTCACACTCACTCAGTCAATCACTCACTCCCTCACACTCCCTCACACTCCCTCACACTCCCTCACTCACTCACTCACTCACTCACTCACTCACTCACTCACTCACTCACTCACTCACTCACTCACTCACTCACTCACTGACTCACTGACTCACTCACTCACTGACTCACTGACTCACTGACTCACTGACTCACTGACTCACTGACTCACTGACTCACTGACTCACTCACTGACTCACTGACTCACTGACTCACTGACTCACTCACTGACTCACTGACGCACTGACTCACTGACTCACTGACTCACTGACTCACTGACTCACTCACTCACTGACTCACTAACACACTCACTCACTCACTGACATTCACTGACATTCACACTCACTCACATTCACACTTACACTCACTCACTCACTCACTCACTCACTCACTCACTCACTCACTCACTCACTCACTCACTCACTCACTCACTCACTCACTCACTCACTCACTCACTCACTCACTCACTCACTCACTCACTCACTCATACAACAGAAGGAAGTAATAATAATATGACTCACAGTATCTAGTTACACTGCTCTCTAGTTTTTGAATATTTTCAGCGATTTTCTAGGTCACCTAGCAGGGGGTCTAGTGTTTCCAAATAAAGTGCACCTGATATTCAAATCTCAGTCATTCACAACAACTCCGACACCTGCTTAATTTAAGAAAACTGTAGGTTAAACAGAAGTGCACATTGAAATTGGATCTAATTGGATTAAAATTGGATGAACTGTCAAACAAATCACGCTCGTGTAACATACCAAACACTACATAATACCCCCAAGCTACCGATCAAGGCAAATCACAAAGATATTATTGGAGAGAAATAATTAGATTTACACAGCGAGAGAGAAATACAAATGTACTGATAGCGCGATGTATCAATAATAATGCAGCTCACTCACTCTCTCGAGGAAGCACAACGTGAAAAGTGAAATGTAAGAAGAGTAGGCAGATTACTCGTTTAACTCACACTCACACTCACTCACACTCACACTCACACTCACACTCACACTCACACTCACACTCACTCACACTCACACTCACTCACACTCACACTCACACTCACACTCACACTCACACTCACACTCACTCACACTCACTCAGTCACATTCACTCACTCACACTCACACTCACACTCACACTCACACTCACACTCACACTCACACTCACACTCACACTCACTCACACTCACTCACTCACACTCACTCACACTCACACTCACACTCACACTCACACTCACACTCACACTCACTCACTCACACTCACACTCACTCACACTCACTCACACTCACTCTCTCGAGGAAGCACAACGTGAAAAGTGAAATGTAAGAAGAGTAGGCAGATTACTGGTTTAATATTAGCGTGTTATTATTTATAGTGATATACAGCAGGACAATATATTACACTGAGACAGTATGATGATGACTCTACTGCTCGCAACTATATTACACACTGTTTGTTGCAAAACAGCCAAAACATTGTCAGAGCTGTGACACACATCGTTCTGTGAGAAAAAGAGAAAAGAAAGTCTATCGCTGAGGAGATTGAGGGGCCAGGGCGTATTGTTGAGCGAGTACAATACGATTAGTAAAACAGTAAATACACTCAGCGTAAGCAATATTTACGTTTGGTAATAATGTGATAACCGTGAAATCCGGCATTAAACGATGAGGAATGTTACAGTCACATACAACTTATAACTGCATACACATTACACAGCATACAAATCGGGAGGAAAGAAGAGTAAATATAGGGAGCAATAACGGAATGAGAAAATAAAAAACCAAACTCTATTTAATCTGGAGCAAGATGGGACACGGGGGGTCACTGGTTGATTGATTTAAGCTACTGGCTCACAACTCATCCGATTACATACCCTGTGCACCGTTACCATAGCAACACTACAGCCTAAACAACGTGTCATGTTGAGAACGTATGATACATATGTCGTATTGGTGGGTAACAACTGGCAGAGTAGTAGCTGGATGGAGGAAAGCCTGACAAGTGTCTTATATAAGTATATAGCTAGCTAGATGTTCGGTACAATAATAATACAGTGTACTTACTTGTGTGCAGTGTGGCAGAGAAATGTAAACTGTGTGATGTAGATGAAATGAGTGTGAAGTGTGTGTTATAATGTGTGGGTTTGGCACGTGGGACATGTGACTAAGTCACGTGGGTTACAACCTTTGTATACAATCTACATTTCAACTTCAGATGTTGTGTCTAAGTACTTCCCACAAAAATTCCACCGCCTTCGCAGCATCTCAGCAGAGAAGCACTAACAGTAGTGTGCACTAAACACTAATGTACTAAACAGGCGAAATTTGATATTGAATAACGAACAACAGAACGAGATCTGCACAAGAGAAAGCTTGTTAAAAACCGCACTGAAAACACAACAATACAGGGTAGAATAAACTAGACAGGGGAAATAGAGCTAAACACAAGTACACACACACATTCACGTACAACAAATGCAGCTGACCAGTTTAACCGATGTTTGCAAACTGCTCATTCTCCGTAACAAGCCATGTTTAACAATCCCGTTCACTTTATGTAATGATAATTCTTGCATGACAAATCGTCCTCCTTATTTGCTGTGCGGAGGATGGACGAGGGAGTGTGTGCACAGTTAGTGCACAGTGAGTGTGTGCTTGTTTGAGTGCACAGTTAGTGCGTGCACAGTTATTGCGTGCACAGTTAGTGTGTGCACAATAAGTGTGTGCACAGTTAGTGCGTGCACAGTTAGTGTGTGTACAGTTAGTGTGTGCACAGTTAGTGTGTGCACAGTTAGTGTGTGCACAGTTAGTGTGTGCACAGTTAGTGTGTGCACAGTTAGTGCGTGCACAGTTAGTGTGTGCACAGTTAGTGTGTGCACAGTTAGTGTGTGTACATACTGGAGGTACACACATGCACACTTACATGCAAACAAATACACAATCAGGCAAACAAACAGACACACATACACACAAACCAAAAAACCTACACATCTACATTGTACACATGATCTACATTGTACACACAGAAGGCTGGCCACCGCACCGAACTCAGGAAATGTGTGTACTATACCTACTACTACTACGGGGGAGACAATGTGTATACATATGTTCGGGGTAGAGTAACCTGTCTTTTGTCAGGGAAGAATATAATTACAAAGCCGTCCTCAATCAGCTTTTTATCTGCTTGGAGGCTTAGAGTCGCAATTATCCGCAGTTTATAATACCGATAATGGAGTTGAAAGTTGAAACAGCCAGCGTTTCATGTTTCCCATTTCCGTTCCAGCCTAATTAAGAGCTGCACAGCATTGCGGTATTTGTGCAGACTTCAGTCCGACCACAATCCTATCAATATTGGTGTATACTACTGCTACACTGAAATTAGTTAAACCTATCAATAATATGGTTATATACACAGACTGCAGTTGGATGTAATCTATTTTCCGACCCTGGGAATAAAATACTGGATAGAACGGCGAGCCGAGTGTAGTAATTCTGAACCTGGCTCTGTATTCTGTAAGTATGAGAAACCAAATAATTTATAACTCAAGGGATATAGGCGTTCAAGCAGGGCAAGTGAGTAAATTGGTGTAAAAGGCTCCCCAATCATTGCAATTACTGGAGATCAAAAAGTGTTCCTTGGAAACTGGCAGGCTGTTCTATTAGTTGCAGTTAACATAGGGGCACTAGTGATAAAGTTCGGTAATTAAGCCTGTTAAGGCTAACAGTCTTTATCCAACCTCTAACAAATTCTGCGCTAATTAGCAGAATACCTTGCTACACTGAATCATATCAACATTGAAATACTTTTAGTAAAAACACTTGCGAGAAAAACAATCACTCGAATAGATGGTAAACGATTATTTCTTATCGACAACATGATAATATATAAGGGCGCAAACTACAAGATACTAGATAAGAGGTTTAGTTATTTCGCAATGACTGCCCCTAACTCAAGGAATGAAGAAATTCAATTAAATAACAATTTCCAAAACGATACAACCTTCACTTGATGCAATCAAATTTTGACATCAACCTGCAACCTGCAACCTGCCAAGACACATATTCAGTCGTAAACCACCAAAATCTCAATTTTGCAACGCAACACATTTGATGGGTTATCAAATCAGCTCGATTGAAACTATATACTTATATACAATATAGAAGCCAGCAGTCACAGTTAAATGGCATGAAGTGGCACTGGTGGGGATCCGACACACATCACCCCAGTGTAATAATGGTGGGGCCCCGACACACATCACCCCAGTGTAATAATGGTGGGGACCCGACACACATCACCCCAGTGTAATAATGGTGGGGACCCGACACACATCACCCCAGTGTAATAATGGTGGGGCCCCGACACACATCACCCCAGTGTAATAATGGTGGGGACCCGACACACATCACCCCAGTGTTATAATGGTGGGGCCCCGACACACATCACCCCAGTGTAATAATGGTGGGGACCCGACACACATCAGCCCAGTGTAATAATGGTGGGGACCCGACACACATCACCCCAGTGTAATAATGGTGGGGACCCGACACACATCACCCCTGTGTAATAATGGTGGGGACCCGACACACATCACCCCAGTGTAATAATGGTGGGGACCCGACACACATCACCCCAGTGTAATAATGGTGGGGACCCGACACACATCACCCCTGTGTAATAATGGTGGGGACCCGACACACATCACCCCAGTGTAATAATGGTGGGGACCCGACACACATCACCCCAGTGTAATAATGGTGGGGACCCGACACACATCACCCCAGTGTAATAATGGTGGGGACCCGACACACATCACCCCAGTGTAATAATGGTGGGGACCCGACACACATCACCCCAGTGTAATAATGGTGGGGACCCGACACACATCACCCCAGTGTAATAATGGTGGGGACCCGACACACATCACCCCAGTGTAATAATGGTGGGGACCCGACACACATCACCCCAGTGTAATAATGGTGGGGACCCGACACACATCACCCCAGTGTAATAATGGTGGGGACCCGACACACATCACCCCAGTGTAATAATGGTGGGGACCCGACACACATCACCCCAGTGTAATAATGGTGGGGACCCGACACACATCACCCCAGTGTAATAATGGTGGGGACCCGACACACATCACCCCAGTGTAATAATGGTGGGGACCCGACACACATCACCCCAGTGTAATAATGGTGGGGACCCGACACACATCACCCCAGTGTAATAATGGTGGGGACCCGACACACATCACCCCAGTGTAATAATGGTGGGGACCCGACACACATCACCCCAGTGTAATAATGGTGGGGACCCGACACACATCACCCCAGTGTAATAATGGTGGGGACCCGACACACATCACCCCAGTGTAATAATGGTGGGGACCCGACACACATCACCCCAGTGTAATAATGGTGGGGACCCGACACACATTACCCCAGTCGTAATAATGGTGGGGACCCGACACACATCACCCCAGTGTAATAATGGTGGGGACCCGACACACATCACCCCAGTGTAATAATGGTGGGGACCCGACACACATCACCCCAGTGTAATAATGGTGGGGACCCGACACACATCACCCCTGTGTAATAATGGTGGGGACCCGACACACATCACCCCAGTGTAATAATGGTGGGGACCCGACACACATCACCCCAGTGTAATAATGGTGGGGCCCCGACACACATCACCCCAGTGTAATAATCAAATTG